TTTAGGAGTTGATTATGATGATGAAGCATCTGGCTTCATGTGAAGATGATGTCCTTGATGAGGATAACCATGAACTATTCATTGAAGGAGTAGCTGGTGATGATCTTCCTTCCATGGAGCCTCAAGGTGATAAAGATGTTTTTTTTAATCTGGAATTTACGAAAGTGGAGGCGTATAGTAGCCCTCTTCTGGCAGTTATTCATCAGGAGACTCAGACTACTGCCTTGTTAGCTATGTCGGTGGCTCAGGAGTTTTAAGCCTCAGTGGATGCTGAAGAGGTCTTGGTGGCCAATATGATGGGGGATATGGGGATGGACTTCGCAGTCCCTATCAAAATTATATGGCAACAGATAAAAGTTCGAGTTAGAGAGAGGAAGGAGGCCAAGAATGTTGCTGCTCCTATTTTACTAGAAGGGGATTTAAATGCAGAAGCTACCCTTGTCAAGGATGTTGAGAAGAAAAAGATGGGAAAGGAGGTTAAGTAAAAGAAAGATGTGTCAAAGCTTTTGAGATCTTCTGCGTGTTTGGTTGCACGTGGTGTGATATCTAGAGGAATGTTGAGTGTGGATAATGCAATGATGGAATTGAGCAATGATTCTTCATTAGCTTCAACCTCGTCTTTGGCCTCTTATGAAGAAGTTATGATGCTTAAAGAGCTATATTTTTGGAGGATCTAGGTTCCTCCTCCTCCCTTGCTTTTTAATGCTTATCATTAGTTCGAATGTAAGGGATTTGGGTGATCCCAGAAGCATGAGTGATATTTTTTTTTGGGTTACAATATTTAAACCATATATTTTGATTTTACAAGGGACAAATCTTCCTAGCCTCAATGTTTTTGGGGTGAGGGAGGTTAGGTGCTCTAGGGCAATTTATTTTGAGGGTATTGACTCTATTGGAGATTCGGGTGGGTTATGGGTTTTGTGTAATCCCTCTATCCTATAAAGTTTTTAGGTCATCAGGAACTTTTGCCTAACGTTTTTTGGGGATTGATGAATGTGTATGAGCCTAATCTTCTTGCTTGAAATGGCTAATGTTTTACTCAATTCTAATTTTCATATATGTATTGGGGGATTTTAATTTAATTTGTTGGCCTGATGTGTCTTCTTTTGGAGGCTCTATTAATTTGGCAATGAGGATGTTCAATAGGTTTATTGAATATCATTCTTTGCTGAACTTGCCCAATTATGATACAAAATTCACCTAGTCCAATAATAGCTTGAGTCACCTATCAATATTTAAGCTTAATAGATTCCTGGTTTCAAGTGAGAGATTGGAAGCATTCCCTTTAACTTCTGTCAAGACTCTTCCAAGACTATCTTCGAATCATACTCCAATTTTGTTGTCTTCTAATAATTTGAAGGGTAGTCCTAAACTTTTTAGAATGAAGTTAGGGTAGCTTGAGGAGTAGGAGGTGGTAGAAATTATAAAAATCACGTGGAAAAATACAATCACATTTGTTTCTTTGGATTTCCAATTGCACAAGAAGCTCCTAAATAATAAGCGTAAGTTGATTGTTTGGAAGAAATAGAGCAGATATCAAGTAAGGTAAAAATGGAAGAGGTGTTATTAGAGTTAGAAACATTAGATCACAATGTCCAGTAGACTGGTATCTTAACAAATGACTTGGTGGATGATAAAAATGTGAACTTAAAAGCTCTCCATGAGCTCCTTAGAGTGGAGGAAGTTTTTTAGAAATAGAGATATAGAATTAAGTGCTTAATAGTGGGGAATCTTAATACCAAATTCTTTTATACTATTGCTAGTGCACATAGGCATAAGAATAATATTTCGGGGTTTGATTATTCAGGGTCTAGCGAACGATGATCGTGATTGTTAGGAAGATAAAATTATTAACAATTTCAAGGAAGCTTTCACCTTGGAAGTTAGATTCACTGCTAGGATGGAACAAGTTCCTTGTAAAGTGTTGTCAACCACTATTTAATCAGTTGGAAGTTGACGTCACTTTGGAGGAGCTCAAGAAGGCTATTTTCCTCAATTCTGAGTGATAAGGCTCCTGGTCCAGATGGGTTTCCATTGATGTTTTTTCAAAAATTTTGGCCACTAATTAATGTAGAGTTATTGTTGATGGTGAAATGTTTTTTGTCGAGTGGGGAGTTCTTTAAGGGAGTGAATTCCATGTACATTGTGATGATCCAAAAAATATCAATTATTGCCTCTTTGTCAGACATTAAACTTATTAGCTGACTGACTAGCCTCTATAAGATTGTAGCTAAAGTCTTAGCTGAAAGGTTAAATGTGGCGTTGCCTGCCATTATTTCAGGTCCTCAATCGGCCTTCATTCATGATCGCTTGATAATGGACAATGTTTTGGTAGCCCATGATTCCATTTACTCTAGAATGTTGAGTCAGTTACTTGGTGTGGTTATCAAATTAGATGTGGACAAAGCCTATGACATAGTTGAATGGGTATTATTGTAGAGGTGATGAATATGATGGGTTTTGGGGCAAATGGAGAAGCTGGATTTTCAACTATCTTTCTCCAACCCCATTTCTCAATTTTAAACAATGGAAGCCCTAAGGGGTTCTTCCATGCTTCGAGGGGCTTATGTTAGGGTGATCCTATGTTGCCATTTATTTTTACCTTCTTTGCTGAGTGCTTCAGTCGTCTAACCCAAAATATTAAGTGAAGGGGTAATTTTATGGGATTCAAGATTGCCAACCATGGGCCTTGTGCGACTCATCTTCAATATGCAGAGATACACTATTTTTTTGTGAGGCAGATGTGGTCCAAATTAGCAATGTTACTCAATTTCTAAGATGCTACGAAGTGGCTCTAGGGTTAATAATGAATTTTGAGAAAGGTTCATTGATTGGGATTAATTGTGGTGATTTTCTAGTGAAAGACTTAGCAGAAACTATGAGATGTAGGATTGACTCTAGCCCTTTTACATTTTTAGGAATACCTATTGCATATTTGAGACTTCTTGTTTCGTTGTGGGATATAGTGGTGCAGTGTGTTCAATTTAAATTGGAGCTTTGGAAGCCCAAGTTCTTATCTATGGAGGGGGAGAGTCACTCTTTTAAGATCATGCTTGGTGAATTTTTCTCATCTATCAAATGTCCCTTATCCAAATGGTAAGTTCTATAATGAAAAAATTTGAGGGAATGATGTGAAATTTTTGTTGGGGTCATATGGTATAGTGATAAAGTTTCACCTTCTAAGGCGGGATAAAGTTTGTACTACTAAGAGTGAAGGGGGGCTTATCATAAGGCACTTTTGTGTAGATGGTGGCCGCAAAACTGCTACTTGAAGATCACTTGTGGTCTCAAGTTCTTCTTGCTAAACATGATCTTGATAGACAAGGTATGTAGCTTGGCAGTGGAAGGGGAAATGTGAATCAATCGATTTTGTGGAGATCCGTTTTTCTGTGTAAACCCCAACTGGAGCGAAATGTGCGGTGGAGTATTGGTAATGACAACTATATCACCTTTTGACATCATAAGTGGTTAGGAGAGATGCCACTTAAAATTGCTTATTCGGAGATTTTCGATAGTGCACAATCTTATGCTAAGGTTGCTGACATCTTTGAGATTCGGGTAACATGTGTTTTGGAATTCAAATTTCCCCTATAATAGGTTGAATGAAGAAGTTTCCTCTTGGCTTAGTGTGCTATTGTGGGATTTGGATCAAGGACATATTCCACGTAGTTTACAAGATGAAGTTATTTGGGATGTTGAATGTGATGGACAATTTTTGGTGAAATTTGTTTGATAGGTGGCTTCAGTCCTTTCCACAAGTTGCTCAAATTTGGAAATGGTCAATCCCTCACAAAGTCCAAGTGTTTGTGTGGTTATCGGCTCAAGAAAAAATACTTAAATTAGATAGTTGGATCAAAAGAGGAAAATTTTTGCAAAATATATGTCTCATGTGCAAGGAAGATGGAGAATATGGAGCTCACTTATTTTTACATTGTCGCTTTGCTTCCAGAATTGGTGCTGGTTCCTTTCTTTGTTAGGGGTGAGAGTGGCAATGCCTTAGGCTATGGTGGGAATTGTACCGTAGTTGGCCTTTCCAAATCTAGAAAAAATGGGTAGCATACTATAGAAGATTGCGAGAGGAGCAATTATGTGGGAGTTGTGAAAGGAGAGGAATAGATGAACTTTTAATAGGGATATTTTATCTTTTGATAAAGTCCTCAATAATGTCAAGCATACTTTGTGGTGTTGGGTGTCGATCACGAAAGAGGGGTGGGAAGTTTTGGAAGTGGATGTCATGTTAAATTTGTCTAATTTGTTCTAGATTAGTATTGTTAAATATAGACCAAGGAGTACTTGGGTGCCACATTTGATGGGAGGGTTTAAACTTAACTTTGATAGGAGCTCTTTAGGTAATTCGGGGGAGGCCTGTATAGGAGGGGTATTGAGAGAATAGATTGAGAATGCAATGTTTACATAGGCTGGCCCTATTGGTATTGCAAGTGCAAATCGTGCAAAATTATTGGCTCTTTTTCAGGGTTTGAAGCTTTTTAAAGAAAGGAACTGTGATGTTAGTGTGGTGGTGGAAGGAAACTAATGTTATCAAGTGGTGTACAAGGAATAAAGGGTGCCGTGGGAGCTAAAATCAGTTTGCAGCCAGATTTTAGACTTGGCAGACACATTGAGTATCTCTTTCCATGATGTGTATAGAGAGGCCAATTCTTAAGCGGATGATCTTGCCAAAAGTGGAGTGTCATTGCAGTCTTCGTTAGTCTTGAATTTTGTAATTCTATTATGTAATAATTGGTTCTTAATAAATTTAGTAACATTTGTCAAAAAAAACCCTAAAAAATATATTTCACAAAAAAGAAAGTATAGAATGACACCGTTAACTTTGGTACAAGGTGGTCACATTAATCTTGACCATTGAATGTGGAATTAGGTGGCTGCAATTATTTCATTCACCAACCTCAGGCTTCAAATATTTTTTTTTAACTTTGGGACACATCGAATGGTTTAAATAATTGTGACCTTTGATGATACTCGATGATTCTTTGGTGGATCCCAAATTTTAATGTCTTGCCTTTCGCGCCGAGTGCCGGAAGTAGACAGTAGTTGGGTGCACTAGTCGCAACAATTATGGCAACAACCGAGAGCACGTGCTTAGACGTTGAATGGCTGCTCTACCAGAAACCGTCGGTCCTTGCGGTTCCCGTTATCTCGTAACCGAAACGAACGGCGTTGGCATTGGAGCTCTGCAAATAATGTAATAGGGTTTCGACTTTCGACTGTGGAAGTATAGCCGAGTTGAGGGTTTTCTCGTATTTGAACTGTCGAGCTCTCAAATGCTTCAGGGTTTTTGAGAACGATAGTGTGAGGTTTCGAAGAACGCAAATTAGGGTTTCAATGTGGTGGTCCTTGAGGCCTGCTTCACAGAATCGCTTCTCCCTTGAACGATTCAAGTGAGTCTTCCTTATTCAGTGAATTTTTATTTATTTTGTTTTTTGGTTTGTTATCTCTTTATATGCAAAATATGGGCGGAATGCGCTGTGGCATTTGAAGTTCAGGGTTCCTTCTTTGTCTAGAACCCGTTATTTTATAGTTCGGTTGAATTTTCTTTCTGGGCTTTGTTTTCTTCTGGAGTGTTTTGTTTGCAGGATTTTATGTTGTAACATGATCCACCATTTTAGTTTTGTTGTTCTGCGTAATTTGCTAATGAAACATTTGTATTTGCAATTCATGGATACTGTCTATAAAAACATTGTAGCCATGAAAAATTCTGAGAGATATTGGCTCTCCTTTTTACTGATTAAATTAGGTGAACTCTCTGCTGGATGGGTTAGCAACCACATGTGGAATTAGTTTTGCCTCAACTAGAGCTTCTAAACTACATATGGAATCAGTTTTTGCCTTAACTATTGCTTCTAACTTACAACAACGCAATATGGTGATCAACTTCCCTGGAGTGATTCAATTTGATATGATACCATTTAGCAAACAAAGTTGTATAATGCCGATTAATTAGAAGTAGCATAAGGTTTCTTGCATAAAGTTGGTTCTGAGTTGTCGATGGTAGCTATGTAAACTATCATTGTTCAATTTTGGAAAATAACATATTAATCTACGAGTTTTGACTAGACAGTCTCAATCTTCATTGTTCAATTTTGGAAGATAACATATTATTCTACAAGTTTTGACTAGACAGTCTCAATCTTCTTTTTCAAATGTTATATATTCTTCAATTATTCGCTCATGGTGCAGGGTCTTAAATGATGAATTACAGAATGTTAAACTCGTGGACCGACTAAACAAGGTACATCTCATCATTTCATTGAATGGTGTCTATTTGGAGATTGTGTTGCATATAATTGGAATGCATGATGATTTAGATGAATTTTCGTTTATCTTCAGGATTTTGTTGGGGATTTACTGAGATCAGTAGTAGAGATAGTAATCTACGGTGATCAACACGACCCATTAATATTTGAGTAAGAATAATTTTATGTTTATTTTTTATGATTGCTTCAGATTTTCTTGTAGATAGTTCATTAATGGTGAGTCCAGTGCTTGGATCCTTTGGGTATGATGGGTCTATCTTATGACCATGGTTCTATTGTCTTCTGGTAGGTATTTTATGGAAAGACAAGGTTTGGCACAATTTCTCCGCATTTTGAAGATCAGTGAAGCTTTAAGCATAGAGGTGCAGTTGCTGCAATCTCTGAGTATTATGATCCAGAATTTAAATAGTGAAAATGCAATCTGTAAGCTGCAGAAGTACCACGAAGTACCTCCTTTCAGATATCATCGTTGTTGTATTCCTTTATTGAATTTTATGAATCAGTGCTCTTTTACCATAAGCTACATCATGAATTTACTTTTTGCAGACTATTGTTTCAGCAATGGGTACATTGACAATATTATCATCCACCCCTTTAAGTTTGATGATGGGGAGCTTGCTCCCTATTACGTATCATTCCTAAGGTTACCAATTAATCAGATCTTCTGTATTTGTTTTATTGAAATGAGACTGCTGCATTTTACCTTTTAAAGTTCTTCCATTTGTTTCGTGATTAAGGGAATCCTTATTTTTTTTCCTTTTCTTGTTTTCTACTTGTATCAGGACAGTTAGCGGAAAACTTGATGGACATACAATTTGCCTTCTTTTGAAGGTTCAAGATGTAAGTTGCAATTTTCTTCCTACGAGAAAACATTTACGTGCGGTATTTGTGCACATTGATCCATCCTTGATTTAAAGCATTGTTAAGGCGATATTCCCTTTGCACTATCCTGATTCATCATTTAGTGTCCCCTTTAAGTTTTTTCAATAGCTGATTACTGTATTTATGCTTATATCTCTGGATATTGAGATAAGCTTCAGGAGCATTCCTTTTTGTGAATGAACATACAATTTACTAGCAAACATTTATTGCTATCGTTCTCTGTTACTTTAGGCTTAAAGTCTGGTGTTTTTCAAATTGTTTCAAAAGTTTCATGCTCATCCATTACTAGTGGCTGTGGGTGTGTGTTCTTTCAGAGGCCAAAAACTAGGTTCTGAATTCATTTGGCCTCTCTCATCGGCATCGAGTTTCTTTGAGCATGATAGTTTGTGCTGTTTCGTAATAAATTTCACCATATTTTGTCATCACATTGTATTAAATCTATGGAAGCTTTCGCATTGGCTGCTGAGAACAACTAGTAATACCAAGTAAGTTCTGCTCAAGCAAGGAAGAGTTACCAAGGCTAAAACTTTTACATAAAATAGTGAATGAAATCATCTAAAGATATGTCTAACAGTAATATTTCCAATAAATTGCATTGGAAATATGAGTTTTAGACTGCCTTATCTGACTAGGAACTACACTGTGTTGTAAACTCTCTCCTGTTCTGCCGGTCTTCTCCATGTGCATTTTGTTTGGTATGAAGTAATGCTGCTATTGGGGATGCAATATTGCTTTATCCTTTGATGTTTTCTAACACCAAAACCTCTCAAAGGCTCTTTTCCGCTGCTCTTTATCTATGTTAACATACACGCTCATCCTTTGCAATGCTGTCGGCTACCTTTCTACCTTGGCTTTTGCTGCACCCATTTCTTGCCCTCTGTCTTTTTAAATCTGTCTTTTTCTTATTTGCTGCCTTATAAAAGGCGAATTCATACTCAAATCTGCAGTTCTCTTCCTGAGATTCTAGACTCTTTGATCACATCAAGGGATTTCAATATGTGACCTTGCATGGCTGCTAAAATATGGAATGCAACTCTACATTTGTAGAGGTTAAGATATTATTATTATTATATTCTTTTATTCCTCTTCTTCTTCTTGTTCTTCCTCCTTTTTTCTTGCTTCTTTTTGTTTTTAAATATTGCAGTTGTTGGAGCTCATGTGTGCTTTATTGCTAATATCTTCCCATGACAGGAGGTTGCAGTTTCATTCCCATTGTATACCGAGGCTATAAAATTTGCCTACCATGAAGAGAAGATGATCCAGATAGCTGTGCGTGCTTTGACCCTCAGCATATATAATAGTAAGAAAATCCATTGCCTTCTTTAACATGTCAAGGAAAAATAGAATTTTGCCTGTTAGAAATTTTTTATCTTATGTTCATATTAGAATGTTCATGGTTGCCATTATTCTGCAGTCAACGATGAAATTCTCCATACATTTATCACAACTCCTCCTAGGTCAGAGTATTTCTCAGACTTTGTCCAATATTTGAGGAGCCGATGCTATAAACTGGATATTCTCATTAATGCTACAAAGTATGTTGCTCTTCCTTGTCATTGGAAAATTGTTACAAACCTTTTAATCGACTGGTTGTATTCAGAGATGATTATCTTATTAACATGTTTCATGACTGGTCGTGTTTAGGAATGATCACACTCATATGAAGGAGTTACTTCAGGAAACTGATAAAATTATGGATGATCTCTACTACTGTAATGACATTCTAGGAGTTGGTGTGACTCATTTGTCCAAACTGATAACTAAGAGTGTTCTGACCTCATTGATCTTGCCTGTACTGCTGCCCTCACTTCATCTGGGCCAAAATTCTGTGAGATATTCTTCAATATCCTTCCTCCTTGCCCTTCTCTATTTCATCTATATGGGATCCTAAATTTTCAAAAAAAACAAAAAGAAAGAAAGAAAAGGAAAAAAAAAAATATAAGGGATCTCTCAAAACTAAATTTTGTATTTGTGAGGGAAGAGAGGGCCTAATGGGTATGTTGTTTGGAAAGTGCAAGTTATTTTGCAGTGAGGTTCCTTTGACTTCTAGAATGTTGTTTCAGGAATTATGTGTATCACCTATCACTTCTTTGTATGTACTTTGCCGTCTTCTTCAAATTGTTGGTGGAAAGGAGCTTGTTAATTGTGTTGCGGCTGGTTTGTTATATAATTATACTTCCAAAAATGTGAGTAGTGATTTGGATACGAATCGCTGGCATTTCCATGCTGAGCTATTATGCGAGTGTTCACTAGAGATCAAGGAATACATAATATCAATGAGAAATCTTGAGTTCAAAAGAGAAAGGGATGGAAATATGAAGCGTCCTGAAGGGGATCTATTGAAGCATGCTTTGCATGGTTCTCACAATGGCAGCTCTGAATGGAACAGCATACAAAATCCAAGGTCTGTATATGTTATTCAAATAGGTGTAAACAATACCTGAGGCTTTTGTGTTGCTACCAAATTACATTTGCCTTATTCTAGATGCGACAACTGATGTGATGCCTCGCTTCTTCCACCAATTGAATGCCTAAAAAGTCAGTGAGATAAAAACTATATAAAAATTTAACCAAATAGTATCTCAATAAAATAAGGAAAAAGTTTATATACAGCCGAGGCTCTAAACAATCAAATTAGAGCCCACGTCAAAACTTTCACTAGAAGAGGTTGTTTTGATTCGCAAATATCCTCAAATTGATCATCTTGACATTAAGATGCATGGACATGAGAAAAAAATGAATTTCAAGTTTTGGAAATAGTGCATCTTGTGACGCATTTTTGGACTGTCAATTTTCAAGATTTTTAAGTTTTCATATATCTGCTCGATCTACACTATTTTTGAGACTTTAAATTTTATAATTAAAGATGAAAATATATTTAAGGCTATCACAAAGATTTCCAGTATTGAAACCACATTTTTCAACACTATTTGAAGGTGCGCTTTACTTTGATTGTTTAGAGCCTCGGCTCTATACAAACCGCACTCATAAAATAAAGGTTCAGAAAAACAGTCACTTTGGTGGACGGTACTAATTATAATATGAGCCATTCTGTTCACTCTTTTATTGTTTTTGATATATTTATTTGTTTTATTTCCAGGCACAGTTTGGCTGTTCCTGTATTAAAAACCTGACAACCCGATTTTTTCAGTTGATATGTATCTTCCTGTGCAAAAGATATATTTTTTAAATAATTAGCAACTTCTTTTACAATTAGCATTTCATTGAGATGTGAATTCTATACCCGATTTCAATGGGTCACTACTCCAAAAATAGGGTTTTGGTTAAATATCTCAACAACCAAAAAAAAATGAATTGCTGAATAAATAAGTAAATTTATAGATTGAAAGAAATGGGCCCAAGAGAGTTTTGGAGGGGTTGAAATAACATTTCAAACGTGACAAGAACTACTCCTTGGGCTCTTTTCTGCTGGAGGCTGAAGAAGGTCGTGTGGGAGCTTGAGCTCACATGGCCATGCTAGTGCTCAAGAATTCGTAGGCCTGCTTCAAAGTGGGGTTTCCTTGCCTTGTCTCCATGCAGCTGCATGGGTACCTTACTACAACACAATTCCATGTAAGTATGAAATGGAATTCCTTTCACATAAAGCTAAAAACAAGCATTTGTATGTGAGTGTGTAGGCATGCCTGCTTTAATTTGAAGGAAACATCTGTCAATCTCAATAAAAGTCTAGGTGTCTATGAATCCTAGATAAATTTAGTCGTTTTGAAGTATGCTAATTCTCTATGTACCATCCAGTGATTAGAAACACATACTCAGGCTTGGACATGTTAGGTTACTGAGCTCGATTGAGCTGGTCCGACTTGGCTGAGCCTTAACAAGAATCGGCTGAGTCTTCGTGAAAATAACACAGAATGATCTGGAACCTGGTGAAACCTGGGTGACTCCTGATTGAACCAGAAAGAGCCCCCAGCTATGTCCAAGTGACGAAGACGAGTCCTTGTCAGACTCGACGATTTTTAGAATTCATTCTTTTAAAAATTAAATATGTTATGGACAATGTTAAATTTTTTATGACTCCGATGGACAATGTTAAATCCATTTGCTTGATAGTAAAACTGTTCTTTTCTAGTTTATTTATTTCATCACTTCTAGGAGCTGCATTGTGCAAAAAGAAGTGATGAAAACTTATACTGTTAAATAGGTAAGATAATGTTGTTAGGTATTTTATTTATAATGAGTTGAAGTTAACTGATTCTGCATTTCTTCTGTGGGCTTACATATTCCTTGTTGTGCAGGAGTTGGTTGTCATCATTAATTTTCTCGGGGAATTTCTGTCTTATGCTTCCAGCTATAATGTTCCTGCTCATTCTATCTGAGAAAGGAGATATCGGTATAAATTTTTGTTTTTTCGAATGAATGGTACCGTTATAAATCTTTGCTGCCATAAATTTCTTTTGAGACACTGTAGCTCATTGTTGTTCTGTTTTCTTGCTTACAGATCTGAATGATTTATTGCTCTCTGTGATGGGAATTACTGAAGAGGAGTTTCAGGAGACCTTTACAATGGTAGGATTGGTGTTCTTATGACAAAGTATAAGTAATTCTAGATATATTATAAAGCATGTTATCTTGATAATTTCACAATGGTTGGGTTGGTGTTCTTATGACAATTTTACAGCATAACATCTTTCTTGGTTTGGCATTAATGATTGGAGAAATATTTAAGGCATGTTATCTGAATAACTGTACAATGGTAAGATTGGTGTTTTTATGATGATTTTGTGGGGTAATTCTAGGCAAATGAGTCATCACTCTCTTTCTTTCTCTAGAAATTAACAACAAATGAGTAGATGGTTAATCTCTGTCTGTCTCTCTCTCTCTTAAACCCTGCAAAAACTTGGGTAGATGTGCCACCTCTCTATCTCCCTCTTTAGAACCAGCAGAGAATTGGTTAGGTGGTCACCTCTTTGTCCCTCTCCATTGATCTTTTGAAAGTGAAAAGGGATTTGGGGAAGTTTGGAAGGATGTTTGGACAGCAATGAGTTTGAAAATGATGGAGGAACACAAATCCAACTAAAAAATTGTGTTGGTAAACTTTACCTTTTTGTCTAGTCTTTATCGTTTAAGTTTGTGCACAGACATGTCTTTGCTTCTTTTATTTTTGATCACTGCATCTGACACTTGGAGGCATGTTAGATTCCAACACCCATGTCCATATCTATTTAACATGGTTTGTCAGTAATCATTTTGAAATGCATTGTTGCATGTCCATTTTGTTCACCTGCAATATTAGACATGCCCATAATAAGGGCCTTCTAGATTCCTTTTCTGGAATTATTAGTTATTTCTTAAGAAAAATTTTGGGCTTTTATATTAACTTGAAATGTGGTTCATAGCAATGTTGTTGATTCCTTTCAAGGTGCACTTAGACTTGGGTAGAGAAGAAAAATGCTTGTGCTTTGGCCTCTTTGGGTAGGATATTCTCTTCTTTGTTTTCTCTTTATAAATACTAATGGAATAATATAATAAAATCTTGTTTTGAGTTGTCTTTGTCTTTATTTGTCATTAAACTAAAAAGTTGCTTCTAGGAAAATAACTTTAAAGACTGATTGCTGTGCCTAACGAGGCATAATTTCAAAAACACTTGAAAGATTGTTTAATATTGATGCACATTCTCTTCTATTATCTTTTTAAAGATTCTACTTTGCACAGTCATTTTTTGAAATTTATGATATAAAGTTGAATGCTGCAGTATTTTTATTTTTACTTTTTGCAGGTCATGAATTCGATAATAATTTATTTATCAAGCCAACAGCCAATGTCAACAGATTCATTGTGGAATGCTGGATGGATTTTACAAAAGCTACTAGCTTGCCAAGAAAAGATTCCTATTGACTCTTTCGCAATTAGTGTCAAAGTAAGGGCTCAAATCATCTCATCCTTGATTTTGTGCACAGGTTGTTAACTTATAGCAGTATTCTATTGTTGTGTTTCGTTTTATTCTAATCTACCATTAATGGAATGATTGTGTTGGGAAAAACTTTTGTTATTCTTAAAGATTGGGGCCTCCAACAATGCTTTAGAAAACACCCGTTGTGTATATTCTTTAAGATTCCTTTGTTATGTGCAAAACAAAAATGAAAAACACAGTGTCTATTTTGATAGTTTTACATATTGCATAAAATTAATTACTAAACCAACCTGGGTTTTAATGCAAACCAGTTTGTTTAAAGTTATAAGTGTTGGATTTGGTGCTATCCAAAATCACCAAGATAAGGAAATCCCATATTTTGTGGGATTGATTGAGATATTCCAATATTTTGTGGGTTTGATATATTTCCATATTTTGTGGGATTCAGATATTCCCATATTATGTGGGATTGAGATATTGATATTAATAAGGTTCCTAAAAGAAATAGAAATCCAATAAGATTAGGACTCTTGGATGGACATATCTGTTGGTTTTTTGAGATATATGTTATATCAATAGGAAGTTTCCTATTTTGTGTGGATTCTTAATTATATATGGGATGAAAGTGCAGAGAATTCGTGTGCCCTATTTGGATCACCATGTGGGAATGGTGGTTCCTCTAGAGAGAGAGGGAGGTAGGGCCTCCTGTGCATAAGATGCGATTTCCTCCTAGAGAAGAGAGCTTCTTTTGGATAGAAACATTGTAATGGTACCTCTTTTGGACTCCCGAAGATTGAGAGGCTTGTTTTTTGTAGAGAAGTAGTTCCCATTGAGATTTTGGGTGGTTTCTCTTTTAGTAAGATAAGTCTCGTTTGCTCTCAAAGTTGTTCTCTTCTTAGACAATGGTCTAGTTATGGAATAGAGATGAGAGAACGACAGTGGTCCCATTTGGGAGAGCAGGTTTAAAAGGGTTTTCTTGACTTGTATTTTTGTCGAGGTTTGTTCCAAAATCTTTGATGTAACTTTTATTGGAATAGTGGATTTCAGTTTTTCGTGCCCGTAGATGTAGCCCTTTTAGGGTGACCCACTTAAATATTTGTGTTGTTGTTGTATGTGTTTCGTGCTTTATTTCTCATACTTTATTTGCCAAATATTGACCCATCGGGTTTATTGCTTCCGCGCGCACAACAAGTGGTATCAGAGCACAACAATAGGTACAGATAATATTAAATCTTCTTGCCAAAAAAATGGTGAATGGTAACTTTTTGTATGAGTGAAATGGGTACTACATCCTATTGATGTAAATATGAAGCGAGGTGTCCTATACACATTATGCTGGATACATAGGTTGGCCATCCTGCATCTATCCTCGTCAATGTTGGCGATGAGCTGCTGTGCCACTTTTAATTCAGCCATTGTTTGATAGCAGAACAATGGCTCATCTCCACCATAGTTGTCGGCATCTCCCAACCAAGGGGTCAATCGCGCTTTTGAAGCTCGCTCTTACAGTCCAAGAAGGGGGATCTCGCTCTACAAAATTTAGAAGAATATAAAAATGCTAAGAAAAATGCTAGACAAATAGTAAGGCTAAACTTAAGACATGATAATTTATACAGTAAACTAGGAACAAGAACAGGTGAAAAAGATGTCTTCAAATTAACAAAAAAGAGAGAGATAACTGTAAGGATCTCGACCATATTAAATGTATTATGAGTGAGGATAAAAAGGTCTTGGTGATGGATGAAGAGGTCAACAAAAGTTGGAGAGTTTATTTTAAAAAATTATTAAGTGATGAACACAATGAGAACATAGCGGTAGAAGGAGCCGTTGGCATAAATGAGGGCAAAGGTCATAGATACATTCGTAGGATTAGGATTTCGGAAGTTAATGAAAGTTTGAAAAGGATGAAGATAATGAAGGCTTTAGGACCAAATTGTATCCTGATAGAGGTTTGGAAGTGCATGGGGGAGATTGACATTGATTAGCTGACCAAGCTATTTAACAAGGTGTTGAGAACAAAGAAAATACTATATGAATGAAGGAAAAGTATTATGGTACGTATTTACAAGAACAAAGAAGACATACAGAATTGCGCGAACTATCGAAGGATCAAACCTATGAGCCACACTATGAAGCTCTGAGAGAGAGTGATTGAGCAATGTTTACAGCATGAAACGACTGTATTAGAAAATCAATTTAGTTTTATGCTAAGGAGGTCAACAACTAAGGTAATTTTCCTACTTAGGCAACTGATTGAGAAGTTTAGGGCGAAGAAAAAAGACCTCCACATGGTATTTATTGATCTAGAGAAAGCTTATGATAGATTACCTCGAGATTTGATTTGGTGGGTGTTGGAAAAGAAGTGAGTCTCCAGACACTGCATCGACTTGGTGAGATATGTTCAATGAAGCACTAACTAGTGGAGAAACGAGTGAGTTTTCAGTGATAATAGGTCTACATCAGGGTCAGCATTGAGCCCATACCTTTTTGTCTTAGTTATGGACGATTTAATTAGGCACCTACAACATGAGGTACTGTGGTGCATGTTGTTTGCGGACGATATAGTTTTGATCGATGAGACCCGAAATTAGAACTTTGGAGGGATGCTCTAGACAAAGCATATGAAATGCAACTTTAGTAATAATAGGAATAGAGACAAGCAAGTAGTTAAGATTGACAGTCAAGAGATACATAAAAGAGCACACTTTCGATATCTTAGATCGATAATCCATGAAAATGGAGAGATTGGGGAAGATGTCGCACATAAAATTAGAGCTGGATGGGCGAAGTGGAGATGTGAAACCGGAATTTTATGTGATCGCCGCATATACCAATGACGCTGAAAGGCAAATTTTATAAGATAGTTGTGAGACCAGCTTTGCCCTATGGGGCAGAATGTTGGATAGTAAAAAAAACGAATATACCCCTAGAATGAGTGTAGCAGAGATGCGGATGTTGAGATGGATGAGTGACAAGACAAGAAGGGATAGAATTAAAAAAGAATACATTCGAGAAAATTTTGGTGTCGCACCAATAAGCGATAAGATGAAGAAAGTAGACCTAGGTGGGCTGGTCATGTGTGGTGCCGACCCAATACAACACCTATTAAGAGGTGTGAGTTAGTTCAAGTGAAAGGCTAAAAAAGGGTAAGGGATATGCCCAAAAAGGCGTGGTTGGAAGTAGTGAGAAAAAATATAGGGACTTATGGCCTCATGGAGGGTATGGCCCTTAATAGAGCTAAATGACGGACCAGGATTTTTGTAACTAGCCCCAATTAGTTGGGGAAAGGCTTTGACGATGATGATGATCTTGATCCTGAGTTATATGGGATCCATATTCCTTTGCATTATATATGAAAAGGTTCATAGGTAAACTAAATTGAGATTCCACAAAAGTGGGATAGAGATTCCCTTAGTGGTAGATTTTATTGTTCCTCTTGCCCTCTTTAACCTGATGCTAAATAAAGACTCTTTTGCATAATTAGTTAACACTTAAGTATTATAATAATATTAGTTGCATGCTTTGATCACACATAATTTCCGAGAGTGGTAGACTATACTGTCTCTTTGGACTCTTTAACAGGTCACAAGTTACTTTGAACTTCAACCTAACACTTTAATACTCTTTATTCAACAAAGAAGGAAGGCCATGATGCTTATAATGTTAAATAAAATTATAAACTACACTAAGGAATGCAGTAATTTTTTATAAAGTTTGAATTTCTTTAATTTTTGTTAATTAATTAATGGGTGTGGTTTCTATAAGGTTGCAACCTTAAACAATCCAATTAAGGCGCACGTCCAAATTTTATCATAACATGTAATTTTGGTGTAAAAAATTCTTAAGATTATCTCAAAATCTATTTTCATATCTAATTATAAAAGTTTAAACTCCAAAAATGGTTAAAAGCAAGTAGATCTATAAACATATGAAAATCTAGAACATGGTCTAGATAATGTGTTGCAAGATGCACTATTTCCGGGACTCAAACTTTTTTTTTTTTTCATATTCATACATCTTGATGTCGAGATGATCAATTAGAGGTTTTTTCAACATTAAAACCACCTTTTCCGATGGATTTTTGAGGTGCATCTTTAATTCTACATTTTAAGGTTGCAACCTTATATAAACTTTTTCCTTAATTAAAATATAAAGTACACTCAAAGGAGTGCATAAATATTAAATTATTATGAAAAATTAGATTTCTTACTTTCTTACTAAAATTTTGAACTCTTTCTAAAATATTAACTAATCAATTATAATATTATATTGACTGCGGTCCCGGGAACCCTAGTTAAGTGCACTCAAGGACCTTGGTTTTTAACGAGATGGAGCTCAAACTTGTAGAACTCATCATTCGATCCGTAGAAGTTGGCATCGAGGTCCCCAACATATTGGGATCCAAATCCCTAAATTTTGGGGTCTACGTATGGCGATCCTGAACCTAGGGGCCTTCTAGCTCTCATGATCCTTTGCTCCCAATCTGACCCTGGAACAGGTTCTGATCACAATCCCGGCAACTATAATCTTCGCCATCCATCAATGAGGAGAGATGGGGGATGACTGGTCTATATATCCCACACTATCATGCAATGCTATAGTATATGGAGCCATAAATAGATTTCAACTAAAAAAAAAGGTCTTCTGTTTTATTAATTTTGCTTGTCACATGCTTTATGGGTGCTCTTTGCATGTTTTTCCATCCTTTTGTCATCACTTAATCGATGTTATTATATAGGTCTTTGGTGATCTATGTCAGCATACCAGTCTAATTTGTCCTTATATGTTGTGAAAGTCTTTTTTTTTGTAAAATCAAAGGGAAATTTATCAAAGTATCCATAAGAGATGAACTATTTAACCTTTTACCTTTAAAGTATCCATAAGAGATGAACTATTTAACCTTTTACCTTTTTATTTTGAGTTAACACATGATAATGAGTTGGAATTGTTGCAAATAGGTAAATGTTGATCAATTCATTTCTTATGAGTATTTTAATGAATTTCCCTTAATTAAGTGGTCGCCTTACCAGTGCCATTTTTAGTTCTTCACCGCCGTATATGATGTAGACTGTTCAATATATCTGCACCTTGCAAAGAGATTTATATCGGCAAGGTGTTCTAGTATGCGTTAGTACCAAAAAAACTTCTGGTTTGACATGATGTTGCTCGTTTCTGTTTAATTTTTTCTTACTTCTCCTGAACAGATTTTGTATGAAAGCTCTTCAAAAAAATTGATGAAAGAACTCAATGGATGCTGGCTTGATCTTATTCCAATTACATTGAAAATGGAGTGGGATAATTGTATGAAAGGTAATCCTTGCATGTTTGTATGCTTTTGCCTACTTTTTTTGGCACAGCTACAAATATGATGTATTGTATCCAATTTGCTCAGTCCTTAAGGAATCATGTCGACAAAAAGATCCTTTGGTCTTCCTTGAAACTCCTCTACACGATCATATCCCAGATGGTAAGTTCAATTTCATCTCATTGGCTAAATATATGCTTGATCCTTTTGTCACATTTTCTAGCTTTTTTCTGTTATGGAAAAGAATGGCTTCAGTTTACAATTTGATTCTACAGGTGATATATCTTCCTTTCTTGCTTGGGAAAGGATGCTTGATATTGTTAAGGTAATTTTATGTATTCTGCATTCTGTTCGATATTGAGAAGCAGTCATTTACATTGTGCATGTCTTCTTAGAGATAGTATTTTATAGACTTCTGTAAAGTTGCCTTTTTTTTTGCAGCATCTCAAGCGGCTATATTTTCTATGAACTTCATATTGCCCCTTCCGTACAATCTCATCCTGTTCCCCTTTATTTCCCAAAAATTGCCCATGTGAATTTGTTGAAGTTCACATTAGTCGTAGCCCTTCTAAATCAATATCTCTCTCTCTCTCTCTCTCTCTCTCACACACACACACACACACACACACACACACACACACACAAATACTCAAGGGCACTTGATACCTTTACTGTTTGCCAACAATTATCTTTCGAAGTCCAAATCTCTTCAAAGAAATGTGAAGAAGAAATGTATGTTAATCATTTAGAACTTGCAAACACCCCTGATCTCCACAAAATCAGGAACTGTCTTGGAAATGGTGGAACCCATTGGCATCTCTTACTGTAATCTCTCTCTTAACTACACCCATGACACACTTAACCATGGCATGGCAGCTGACAGATGTGTAGGTTTCTAAGGATCTGATTTATGGCTCCCAGCACTGTATTTATCAGAGAGAAAGCCAATGCTATTCTATCACCTTGTCCATAAAACACCTCAGCTTTCAATTCTTCCATTGCATCTTCGATGGCTACTTTTTGATCTTCTCTCTTCATTTCTTATAGTGCATATCAAGCAACGCATTCCATACAATCTGAGAGAAAGAGAGGGAGAGAGACTTTTTCTCTCATCACTCGAAGCAATACATTGGCCTTTTCAATTCTCCCACACTTCACATGCATATCAAGCAAGGCATTCCATACAATGAGAGAGAGAGAGAGAGAGAGAGAGAGAGAGAGAGAGAGAGAGAGAGAGTAGTAGTAGGT